CTTCTTCTTCTTCTTCTTCGCTTTTTGGTTAATTGTCTTACAAAGGTTTTGTATTCTTCTTGGATTGGAATAATCCTTGTTCTTCTTCTTGTGAGCTTTTTGGTTAATTGTCTTACAAAGGTTTTGTATTCTTCTTGGATTGGAATAATCCTTGAAGGGGTTGAGTGAGTTGAGATTCACTTATGAGGGTTTAATCTTGCACCTGCAAGCAAGAGTTTGTTTCTTCTTCTTCTTCTTGTGAGCTTTTTGGTTAATTGTCTTACAAAGGTTTTGTATTCTTCTTGGATTGGAATAATCTTTGAAGGGGTTGAGTGAGTTGAGATTCACTTATGAGGGTTTAATCTTGCACCTGCAAGCAAGAGTTTGTTCCGATTTAATCTTGCACCTGTAAGCAAAAGATTTCTAGTGGATTGAACTGTCGAGCAAGGAGGTTTGGGGAGTGAACGTACTCCGTATTGGAGGAACTACTATAAATTACGGCTTGATATTCTCTTCCCTTTCTTTTTATTTTTCTGTATTTTATTTGCAAGATTGCAGTTGATCTTTCTTTTATTTTGCACAACATATTATACATATATATTGAAAACTTCATTCACATTTTTATAAAGGAAAAGAAATGAGTTTTATATCTAAGGAATTGAAGGATAGCTAGCTGGGATTACACAATCCATTTACTTAGCTCTCTCTATACTCCGGCCAAGATATAAGGAAAACCAATATACTTATTATTCTCAAAATTTGTTCTTGAGCTATTTAAACTAAATATAGAATTTGCATCGCTATTATTAATCCTCAATTTCTTAACCACCATAAAAACGTAAGACTTTCCCATGAAACTATGGATAACAAAGAAGCCCTAGCTTCCTTCTCTGGATTAAATAAAAGAAAAACCCTAAAACCTAGTAATCAGAAGGAAACAGAGATGCGAAACGTACGCAACGATGACATTGAGCTCGAGGGCTGGTGAAATTGGCGACGCAAGAATGGGTGACGTTAGTGGGCTTGTGCGCCATGACGACGTAGCTCCATATGCTCATTTTTTTCGGATCTCTCTGCCGCAATTCTTGAGCTCAGAAAGCATTGGAACCTTCCGTAAACACGCGGCGGTAGCAGGCGCACCCTGGAGAGGAAAAGCGACGGACACTTATATGAGAATGGTTATCGATGGGCTGCTCGAAGCTTCTTGAAGTGAACGTAACTTTTATCCATCTTGGTTGTGGAAAATCCATGGCCAGCTCACCACATTATCAATTATGAGAGTATCACTTTACAATATAAAAGTTTTAATCTCGTTTTTTTAGGTTTTATTATTATTATTATTATTATTATTAATATCATAATACCAGTAGTAGTATTGTAGTCTAACTAATCAAAATCTAGTCAAATTAGATTCCGAAATAAGAATATTTTTTTCATATCTGTTTTTTTATTTATAACACTTAAATTTAAGATTTTATTTTAAAAAAATGAGTCATTTTATTTGGATTAATAGGTAATTGATTTCCTTTTAGATTAAATGAAAACACCCAAAATAAATGACAACAGGTTACTCATTATCATATTAGCACTAACGTGACAATTCCTTGCCAGGGGCATAGTTTTTAGTTTTTGTTAAACATAATAAATTTAGATCAATCTAAAAATTCAACCTAACTCATTTATTATAAGTAGGATCATAAGTTTAAACC